AATATAAAAGCAAAGTTACTAATATATTCACAAGGAAGAAAGGATTAACATGTATTTACTGTGCATGGTGTATTTTTTGGAAATACTAAAGACTAATGTGGATCACAGAATCCTTTGAAGCATACCGGTAATTTTGTGAGATTTTACATAAACTAAAACAAATGGAAGTAGTTAAAAAGTGTATGGAGAATACACTATTTGAGGCTTTTAGTTTGAACAAGCAAAAAGAGTATTACTAAATGCTTAAAACAAGAGGAAAAAAGTTGATCCAACTCCTTATTTCCTGAGCTCACCCTTCTTTTGCTTGGCCTGGCTACTAAAGTAAGCACCTACAATTAAAAAACTAGGCTTGATTCGAGCTTCCGTTAGTGGGAAACTCGCACTGAGCTTAACCTGTGAAATGCTCCATTAATAATTGCTGATAAAGCTGCCTTAAGACATTAGTAACATCTTACGTTCATTCTTTGAGAAGGGCAATACTCAAAGGAAACTCACAAAATCCATCATAAGATAGTAGTGATGCTTGGTTAACTAACTTTTCAGATGATCTTCTGAAGATTCCCTACAAAAAAGAGAAAGGATATTCTGAATTAAGATGATCTTAAATAATTTTTCTCCAAAAAAAAGGCAAAATAAAGTAAAGCCACAAGGTGTCAGTATGTTAAAATTACCTGTTACAGTGTTTAAGACATTGGCAAGGTCTTCTGGTGTGTTCATATCTTGTCTTTGTGAAGGGGGAATATCAAGCTGATATGCTGGTCCATATGATAAGAAATACTGCAAAGTAAAAGATTCATAACCAGGTAAAAATGAGAATATTTGAAGCCTTTGGTTTGGGAATTTGTTGGGAACAATTATTAATAGTAACAGGAGTCATTCAAGTCCTATTCGATCTGTATATCTTAAAAAAATTTTGTTGGCATGTCTAGAATACAGGTCACGTTCCACAGTGAAGTTTGGACTACCAATATATAAACAAGGTCTTGACCAGCAGAGATTTTGTAAATTGAAGACCCATCCTTGTAGCCAAAATTTTGTGTAACGACAGAAAACACTTTGTTTCTCTATAATAAAATTCCATAAATTTCTGTTTTCTTTTGTCACTAATATGGCACATCCCAATGAATTTCTTAATGAACCTGCTATATTTATCGAGACGATTTGGTTTTCATAAAGCAATAAGGGGCTTTTATTGGCCATATTTCCATCTGAAGGGCTCTTAATCTGCTAATTCTTCTATGTGGGTGGTATTCTTTCAGTAATACCATCCCGACTATTCAGATGGAAGAATTTTGTTATAGTTATGATATGAGATAGTTCTATTTTACCTCATGTTCTGGAATGTCAAGGGGGAGTTGCTGATTAAGAACCAAGCCAGTCAAGTATGTCCAACACCTTGCAGCATTTTGCACATTGTACCCTCCTAAAAGTGGGACATCACCAAATGAATATTGCTAGATACACTCACTGAAAGATCAATGTTAACTTTCTTGATCCCTGATCTCACCTGTGTTACTGTAGGATATTTATTTTTCCACGTCACTAAATTGTGCGGGACAAAATGTTGAATGATGTATTTAAGTGCGAATCCTTTAGCCTTAAGTAGAGGAGATATTCTATTGACATTTCTGCTATTCCTTTCTCATGACAACTGGCACTATTAGTTCTGATATAACACCAAAAATCTTGCAAGGAGTACTTGTTCAAAGGGAAAAACAAGTAGGCCACTTTTAAAATTAATTATCTAAGGCCGAGGGGAATAAAACAAAAGAAATCACTTTGAGATTTAGGGATTAACAATTCCCTTCATTTGTTTCATTCCCCTATAAAAAATACAATTTGTAGTTTTTATATATGTATTTTATGGTTTAAAAAACATGAGAAGGTCTTGAAAAAAATTCCTGTCTGGTCATCTGGGACAAGTACTAGTAGATTTTCTGGATCAATTTAGGTTTCTGGGAAACTTCCTACCTATCCCTCCCCTAACCCAACATGTTACCCGAGAGGAGACGCAAATGTTAAAGTTGATTTAGAGAAGGGGTAGGTAGGCAGTTTCCCAGAAACCTAAATTGATCCGATTTTCTTGCTGGGCAAAAATTAATAAGTAACGTTTGAAGCTCACTTGCCTCACTTGACCTCAAGTGTCTGAGCAAGTCACCTTTATAACTAAATCGACAATGGCAACAAGCAAGGAATGGCCCTGGAAGGCAAGCGAAATGAGAGAGCTGCTTGTCCAAAACTGATAAACTTGATCCCTGTTGAATATTAGGGTTAATTGCTCACAACTTACCCCCACCAAGAAGCAGAAGAGGCAAGTTCCAGTTCATGAGGTATTTAACACACTCTCCAATGCTTTGTTGGGTGAGATTAAAGGATGCCATAGGATCACCGGCAAGTGTATCAACTCCACACTGACAAACAACTGCACTCGGTTTAAATCTTGTCCTTACCTCTGACATAACCCTGAAAAAGAGAATATTTCAACCATTTCAAGCAACAACCATTGTTAATTTCAACCTAAAGATGACAATAATACCTTTTGTGCACAGACAAAGAAGCCACTGGAGATTAGTGGGCTAACCATGAAGAAGAAGTGACTGAACTATTTTTATCTCAGAGTGAAATTTCTTTTAGTTCTGTTCATTACTTTTCTTAAAAATTAGGAAAAGGGGCCACAGGCACTCTAAGAGTTAAATCCCCTTTAGTCTCCTGTTGCAGCTGTTATTAGCGTAACAATCCTCTTCAGAGGAGGAGCATTGGATGATGATGGCCATAATAACAGCTGCAATGGAGAATAAGCTCCCTTAAGCTTTACCAGCACTCCAATTTGCTACCATTTTGCACCTCTGTGGGTGTATTAAGATGCAGGGGTCCAATTGCCTTTCAGGCTTTTTGCTGACCAACATTCAATTCCCTGAACAATTAACTGTTGAACCAGAAATAAAGGTCATGAAAAAGAGGTACTGGTAACTGAACACCACTCAAGATAAAAATTAAAAATTCTGTTTTGATTATCAAAGGGACTTCAAGCTCATTAGTTTTCTTGAAAATACATAGAGAGTGGTGCAGAGGAAATCAATGTCTTCTTAAAATTCTCATAAGAAATAAAAACTAATAATAAATAAACAGTCAACTCTCTCTTCATGGACACCTCTATAAGACGGACACCTCTGTAAAACGGACACCTAGGTCCCTGCTTTTCTTTACTCCCCTTATTTGACTCTCTATACGACGGACTTCTCTCTAAGGGGGACACATAGTACTGGTCCCAAAGGTGTCTGTCTTAATGAGTTGACTGTAATAGTTAACCATTTTCTTAAATAATACATGGTACTCACTTGAAAAACAATTCTGTAAAGGGTTTATCTCTTATTCCATCCTTAAGAGGTATGTTGAGTGAGTAATATTTTCCTTTTCCTTCCCCAACATCTAAACAGGAACCAGTACCTGCAAATCAATAGTATCAAAGTTTCTTTAAGTTGTTAATAAAAATGTGACATACTGTACGATTCTAAGAGCCATAATTTTGTCAGTGAATGTTACTCCCATTTTAGCATATAATTTATTAAGGAAAACATGCCAGCAGCACCCAGTGGCCTTTGGTGACTAATTTTAAGCCTTAAATGTTTGGGTCGGCCCCCCACAGCAATAAAGAGGTCAAGCAAAACAAGGTACCAGGTAACTGAAAGCATGGTAAAAAGTGCAAATACTTACCAGGGAAAAATCCTGGAGAATATTTATGAAATGACACAGACATCACTTTGGAAGTAAAAGAAAAAGCATCTTCAACACCTACCAGAAGCAAAGGAATATTACAGTAATTGTTTTATCCTTTTGGACCAAGTTCACAATAAGTATGATTTATTTCTTTTATTTTCACTTTGGCTGCTATTTTGGGAGGGAACAAACTAGGCTCTCAAAGTTTCTGATATTGAGATCTACAGTCACCAACAAAATTTGTTAAGACACTTTGCCCTAAGGGGCCTTTTTTACCTTTACCTTAAGCTTTCCCTATCCCACCCCTTCTATGCAATCTTGTGTTGTGGTTTGTGCTACCTGTAGGAAAGAACAAACACCCCAGCTTTGAGTGGAGGAGAGTAGGGGGGAGGGGTGTGCATTGTTTTGTTCTCAGAAGTTACTTCGACCATTTGAGGAACATGTCTTAACAATTTTGTTGCTTATTGTAGTTCCCATCAGGTCTCTTGCTTTCTAAAATTATAGCAAAAATAAATCACTAGTCTTAGTCAAGTCCATGCACTTACAGAGCAAAAACCATTTTAGAATTCTTGGATGTTAAAGGTAAAGATAGACACTAACCATCTCCATGGTGCAGATCAATGTCAACGTAAAGAATTCGATCAAACTTCTCACGTAGCTTAAGAATACCTAACACAACATCATTGACGTAGCAGAAACCAGCTGCTTCATGCCTGGAAAGACAATGTATCTGTCAGCACTGTACATACAGTCAACGTCTGATAACTTGAACCTTCCCAGGAAAATGAAAAAGGTTCGAGTTATTGGGAGTTTGATGCAGAGTTTTACAGAGTTAAATTTGGGATTTTTTATGAGCACTGGTTTGGGACAATCACGAGAAAGAAAGAAAAGTTTGAACTGTGTTCAATGGTATCAGTTATTATTTTTAAATAATATTAAATCAACATGTGGAGCATTAAAAGAAATCGTACCTCTGTGCATGATGCCAGCCACCCTGCCAATTAATTGCTATATTGCACTCCCTTTTATTCAGTATTTCTGTAGCAGCCAAAGTACCCCCAGCCACATTGCACACACAGTTAAATAAGTCATCAAACACTGGACAATCAAAACCTGAAGGAAATGACATCACAGACAAATACAGTAAAAACCTGCAAATAAGAACCTGGTTTTTAAGAACCTGTTAGCCTAAAATTTTCCAGTTATACCCCCTCTATACAAGAACATGGTTCGTAAAAATTCAAGTACTTTTTAAGGACTTTTCAAGGGCAAATTACAGTAGTCAAGGTCTAAGATTTCTTTCGTATTTTGGCTTTCTTTGACCACCTTTTGAACAACTTACTGGCTAAAACACTCAACAGAGTCATTAACTTTGTGAATTTTTCCTTTCTCAGCCATGGTTCATCAGTTTAGTTTACATTATTATATTTATATTACTTTCCATGACAAAACTTTGCAAAATGACAACGGTCACTGGGTACGACTTGCAATTGTATTTGAAGTACAGAAATAGCATTTGAAATAAACAAACAGAGATAAGAAAGTAGAGAAATTCAAGGACTTTTCAAGATCTAATAAAGAAATCGAATACTCTTCAAGGAGGACCTTTACCGAATTCAAGGACTTTTCAAGATGACTGATAAAATTCAAGACCTTTTCAAGTTTGTAAGAACCATGAAGAACCTGTTTAGCTTAAAATTTGATTTTACAGGTTCTTATTTTCTAACTCTAAAAAACAAATTCAACCTGAATTTAATTTTTACCTCCAACATAATATGTTTACTAATTAATTAAATACCAGTGTAAACAGCCATGGAGCAAACATGGCTCGAGCTTATCCAGCTTTCTGTAACAAAAAGTACCTGGCCCCCTAAATTCGGATTCTTGTCTCAAAAAAGGGTTACACTCAGTAGTATATGTTACTGGATACCTAAGTGAAGATCAGTGAATAAATACACAATGGTACAAAGTTTCTTGTCTACGGGAATGATGTGATTGGGAGGCACTTTACCAAAAGTGACATGTTAACCTCAGTCACTCCCATTACATCTCCAAGATCATGATGTTAAACAAACCTAAGCCATAATCTGAAGCTGTCTCCTCCATCTCTTCACAATCATCACAATTTGTTAACTTTTGCAAGCACTCTATGTAATCCATAGAGTGAAATGCAGAAAGCTCATGAACTGTTGCCCTCCTAGGCTGAATAACTCTGTCAGAGATATAAAGAGTTTTTTTTGTATCAATCAAGTGTTGTTAATCGAAAAATAATGTGCCATAGTTTAATTCAGGTGGTTGAAGTTAGACTAGACACCTGTGATGCCATTGACTTACAGTTCAAGTACGATCTGACAAAACTGATAACCAACCAGGTACAATATAAATTTTAAACACAAGCTTACCTGCTCTCCTTTGCAGGTAAACTATAAAATTGAAGTGGTTAACGTATGTTGTTTACACAAATTAAAATAAAACATAGTTCACCGATGAAATTTAATGATAGAATGAAGTTGAATCAATTGATCTTTTTATTCGGAAAAAAAACTTTGTTATTCATAGAAATAATTCAGAGGTCAACAGATTAATTCCCTTTGGTCTTATTAAAATTAATAGAGGTATTTTATGAAACAGGATTGGTTGTGATTTGGCTTAACTTTCAGGAGTAAATACACGAAATTAAATTGTAATCAGAATACCTGATATTTTCGAGAAGTCCATAAGCTTTGATGAGAGAATGCGTTAACGATGCCTGTGAGTATGAGAAATTTAAAAGCTTATGTTAGAGCCTGAATGAAACTGGTAAGATTAGCCTGTGTGCAGCCGGGCGGCTGTACACGGGCTACGAAGTTTTGTAATTGATTGCTTAACGATCATTCGTATCTCAGCGAAATTAAAAGACAAAACCACATCACAGACGGTAAATGACAGGTTACATACCCGTTTGGGAACTTTAGGAAGCTTGTCGCACAATTTTAAAAGTTCCTCTGAGTGTACTAAAGCAGCCTTCGCGCTTCTTATCGGCCTCTTAAACGACTGGGCGCCATTTTCTCGCAACGCCATCTTCAAACTTGCGCGGGAAACGGTGTCACAAAAGAACAAACCCGTACACACTAGGGTGGGTTACCCACTGACCACTGAACAGGTTTCAGGCCGGGGTTTCAGGTTTTTTATAAACTTTGAATGGCGACTCTTTTTGATAAAAGATATTTGTCTTGCGTCATAAAAGGTGTCTTTATATTTTTTGCATAGTTTACATAATTTTTTTTAGAAAATTGGATCACGAAATATTCGTTTCCCGCAACAGTTTATGTCACTACGTTCCATGAGATCCCTAGAGAGCAGGGGAGAGTCCATAACCTCGTTTTCAGGTTGAGGTTGTTACATGTTTGACATGTTACTTTGACAGAAGAGCACTGCTCGATCCGGGACTGCAGCATGCAAGCGCTTCTCGAGAACAATAGTCTTTCTCTCATCCAAGGGGTAGCTTATCTCTTCATTTTGGGCGAAACACTCCGCGCATTTTTTTGATTCGATAAGAAGCACAGTCTTCAAGCGGCGGTGGGTAACATTTAGCTTGCTATGCACCAATATTGTCGTCGTACGCGCCTTTGGTGTGGATTCGTAGCCTGGATTCGTAGCCTGGATTCGTAGCCGGGATTCGTGGCTCATCAACTGAACCGGCCGAAGTTTGGACAAATTATTTCAAAGAAGTAACATGAATTCGTAGCACTCACTAGCATCTTTCAGTAAGTTTAGCCTGACAATTATCCTTTGTTTTGAATTTGCGTGGGATTTTCTCGGAAATTTGAAGCTCAATTCCGGCGAATTCTTGCGAGCGGCCGTGGAAGTTTCGAGCAACTTGAAATAGCTTGTTCCCTACTAGCAGAGGTCTCTCACGACGAGGCAAAAATAGCTTGCGTCGTGGTCGATAATTTAGTAGTTTGCGTACCATTTGCCTTTTCCATCTTGAGCTCTAAATGTTTCCATTCACCTAATTCTGAAAATTCTCTCTCTTTTGCATTTTGTAGTTGAAATGTTTATGGTACGTATGGTATTTCGGGGAAGAGGACGGCCCGTGGAAAAACTTACGTTCTCTCTTCAGAGGCGGGAAAACACTACCCAGCAACAACCAGGTATTTTTGTAAAGGGGGCGGGGGGATGAAGAGGGAAATAAATCGGGTGTTGACCATTAATCCTCCCCGAACATTTTGTTTCGTTATTTCATTATTCCAGTTAAAAAGAAGTCAGTTTCGGAATGAACTTAACTTCTCCTTCTGTCAAATCAGGAGACTGTTCTTGCATGACCTCAAGAAGTGTCCCATCTAAAAATATAAGTCAAACATGTAACCAGTGAGAACTGTGGAACCTTGCCATGCCAGGATGTGTACGTATCACATCAACCATCTAGCATAAAGAAAACATGAAAATTGAGACAATCAAATAAATACAAATAAATTTAGCAGAATGTTTTACTACTGACTAACCGATTCATGTACATTGTATGCTTGCATTAATTCAGTTGGTCAATTTGTTCACTATTGGGATGATTTAGTTACATTTTTATTTACATTAGATTTTATGGTGGCTGGAAAATACAAAAGACTATTTTGGGTTTGAAATGCAAGAAATTGTGGGCTAGTATTTGTGACTATAGCTATTAGCTGGATAGGTATTGGAAAGGGGAAGAATGAATGATTTTCCAGTAATCGGATACCCATGTTTTGCGCACAGGATTGTGGGATCGCCAGGGGGCAAACATTGCGAGTCGCTACAAAGAAATGTATGGCGTGGAGTTGTTTCTGAGTTAAAAGCAGTGTCTTTGGACATAGAATGCCGCATTTTGCCGCGCTTTTATGAGAAACGGAGGTGACTAATGTTGGTGCGTTGAAAGTTCAAGTTTATGTGTGATTAATGCGATGAATTCTATCGATAAACAATCCTTGCGTGAGGTTGAGTGTGAAATTTATGTTCACTGAATTACACAGACATGAAGAATTCGAAGAAAAGGTCTCGAAATATATAGTGCAAATTTAGGTATACATGTAGGGGGGATTGGCTCATTTAAGCGTTTAATTTATAATTACGTGTGGTGATAGTTACGACGAGTGTAACTAAGCTCGGCCGCGATAAGCGCTGTGCGGCGCTTTGCGGGTTATGACAAGACAACGATCGTAGGTATGTACGTGGCTATAAAAATAAAAAATCCTCCTTTACTTTGGTATAAACAAAGTGACATCTACAAAATATTTCATGGAAAGTACATGGTATTTAACCATAAGTAGATGAGGCAGAAATCGTACAAACGAGTAAGATTTCCGATACAAAAACAGTCAGAGTGTGTAAATATAAAATACCAAGTTGATGTGCGAAATTCAGAGATTCTATATCTTCCCTCGAAATGATTGGAAAAGGCATTAGAATTCATCGGTTCTCAGGATCATGACAAAACATTTCGCTTGTGTTTTTTTGGCGAGAAGAAACCAATATACTCATGTGCGGAAGATGTTTTCGACAATATACATAAGCTTACCTTCGATCGTTGTCACAAACCGGCACAGCATTGTGATCGCCGTCGAGCGGAACGTAATTACACTCGTTGTAAATATGAGCACATGTAAATACAACTGGAAAGGCTTAAATGAGTCCGCATTCCCCGCTCATTTATACCTAAGTTAGTACTATATATTTCGAGACCATTCAGTAAATTCACAGTCGACCTTTCACAAGAATCAGTGTTTATCGATAGATTTCATCGCATTGATCCCACAAAAACTTACAATTTCTTTGCACCAACATTAGTCACCTCCGCTTCTCATAACAGTATGGCAAAATGTTCCATTCTCTGTCCAAAGACAATGCTTTTACCGGAGAAACAGCCCCACGCCATACATTTCGTTGTAGCGACTCGCAATGTTTGCCCCCTGGCGATCCCAGAATCCTGTGCGCAAAACATGGGTATCCGATTACTGGAAAATCTTTCATTGCAGTTAACAATTATTGTCATGTAACAGTCATTGACAGTGAGTCATTATATTTAAGTCCATTAACTGTGAGTACCTCATAAAACTGAAGCCCTAATAGAAGTTGGTCCAGCATTGCTTTACATTGAACTAGTACATAGTAATGTGGCACCTCATCAACAAATATCTTTCTGTTGTTCACAGCAACAACAGCTGGTAATCCGTCAATTTCAAACCGCCATTCACACTCTTGTTTGGAGAATGTCCGCTCTACTTCAGTGCTCTCCAAAATTCACAAAATGTTTTTAAGGTTTTTATTCTCACAGTCACAATTCGATCACCTCAGGTACAACTCTCTGACACTCGCACTGTCACAAAAACTGCTCGTAAATCTACTCGATCCTATTCTTTTATCGCTCATAGTTTGGCCACACAGGAATTTCCGGTGATTGTTGATTTTATCTATTGGTTCAGCTTACATTCATGTCAAAATGGCCACGTCCTATTTGTCACACAATATGATAACAACACGTTTCCGACACACTCCCCTCTTATGGTTCGCTATCGAAGCATATGTGATAATTTATGTTTCAATCACACGATTTGAATCTTGAGCTATTTGAATCACATGAACGGTAACAAAACGATAATCAGTCCTTGATCAACGTCACTGTACTTCCTATTGATGATTTCAAATTGAAGTTCGCAGTTCAGGCTGTCTACTGATTCTCTGAAAACAAATAATGATGTGTTCTACTGCTAATGGATCAGTTTTCACAAACTGATTTAGTATTCTAATTTCACATTGTTCAACACCTGCAACTTGTATGATTTCCTGTTCATAGTTCACACTGTTCAGCATCCACAACTTGTTTCATTCACAACATTGCTGCTGCTGCTGCATCTCTTCTAGGGCGGAAATCCTGAGCCTGTGGGTTTAAGCGCTGGTCTGCCACTGGAGTGCAGAGGTCACACTCGAGTTCCAATGGGTACTGGATGCTCCAGCATGCTGTTAGCGGTTCTGAGTTGGACTGCGCGTATGACGCCGTCGCTGCCTGGGTAGACTTCATTCACTATGGCCAGAGGCCATGTTCCACGGTTTTTGTTGTCGGTTTTCACAATGACTACATCTCCCTTTTTAGGTTGGAACTTGGTCACTCCTTGCATCAGGTTGTGTCTTTCTCTTAGTGCTGTAAGATATTCTCTCTGCCAGCGACTCCACATTTGGTCCTTACAGGTTCGCAGATACTTAGCACGTCTCCGGATGTCTCAATCTGTTATCCTCCAGGTTTCCTCTTCCGGCAAATGGTTTGTTCGCTGGTACGAGAAAGTCGCAGGCGTTAAAATTGGTAACTCGACGTCATCTTCCCCATAGCTCAATGGACGGTGATTAACCTGGGTTTCAATGTCGAGTAGCACCTCACTGAGCTCAGACCAGGTTAGAGTAGCGCCACCAATTGCTTTGTACATGGAAGTTTTCACGACTCCAATTAGTCTCTCAAACTGACCCCCCCACCAAGGGGCACGGCTCAAGTTAAATTTCCATTTGATCTCGTGTTGTTCTAGAAGACCATGGAGACGCTCATCGTCTCGTAACTGCCGTAGCCATTTCTCAGCTTTGATGAAGGTACCGCCATTGTCTGAGTAGAGGACACGTGGTTGTGATGAACCGCTTGAGACATGCGATAAAGTTGTCTGTCTCCAGGCTGGCTATTAACTCTAAATGTACAGCCCTTGAAAGACTGCAAGTGAAGATAGCCAGATAGGCGTTTCCTTGACTTTTCTTTCCCTCTTTGTACTTCAATGGTCCAGCGAAATCTAAGCCGATGCCTTCAAATGCCCTGCTAACTGTGGTGCGATCTTCCGGTAACTGACCAGGTATTGGGTTCCTTGCCGGAGTTGCACTGAATCTCTTGCAACCATAGCACTTGCTTCGGACCGATTTGATCAAGCTACGAAGTTTCAGTACCCAGTATCTCTCTCTTACTGCGGCCATTGTCAGAGCGACTCCCCCATGCAGCGTCTCGCAATGAACTTGATGGACCAGTTTCTCTGTAAACCTTTCACTGCTGGGTAGGTATATAGGAGTTTGCCCTTGTATCCGGCCGTGGCAAGTCATCACTCCCTCTGCATTGGGTTTCAGGTTGAGTTGTTCGCTAATTTGAGGGTAGCCGGTAGTTTCTTTGTCTCGCCGTTGGACTCGCTTAATCCACCAACCACGTACGTCCTCTATTTCTTCTGTAAGCAGGGGCCCAAGTTTATTCTCTTTATTCTTGCAGTTATGAATGAATCTCTTGATCCATGCGCAGACTCTTAAGGTTCGGCGCAAGCTGGTGCGTTCGAGGAGTTCTTCGAACTTGTCTGGTTCTGGTTTGGTTTGCGCTAGGTTGAGCACTTCCCTAATGACTTTGGTTTCAACTTCTGATGCTGGTGACGATTGAGTGACTGGGTTGATTGGCCACTCGGACTTGTCCTGGAGCGACGCCGGTCCCTGTTGCCAAAGTTCTGAGTGAACTAGAGCTCCCCTGCTCGCTAGGTCTGCGGGGTTTTCATCCGTAGGAACGTACCTCCACTCGATCTCCTTGTATAATTGTATCTTGGCAACTCGATTCGCGACAAACTGTTTATACTGGCCATTTCCCTTGATCCAATGAAGTGCGACGGTGCTGTCTAACCATCCAAACACCTTTGGGGAGGGCAAGTTATCTAGAGCGTTGCGTACGTTTATCAACAGATTGGTAGCCATGTGCGCTGCAATCAATTCTAGGCGTGGTATAGTCAGCCCCTGTTTGGCAAGTCGACTCTTGGCGACCACTAATCGTTAAGTGTTCCCAGATGGTTGGCGTACAACTGCATAGACTGCTGTGCCTACTCCTCGTTCTGATGCGTCCCCGAAAGAGTGTAGTTCCACTGCTTGTATTTCTTCTTGATAACTTGCTATTGGTCGCAGTACTTGCTGTTCACGAGGTAATTGCTCCTCCCATTTTTTCCAGCGTTGTAGGAGCGCTCCGTTAATCTTCGTGTCCCATGGTGCTTTGGTTTCACACAACTCACGATAGATCTGCTTTGCAGTGAGTGTCAATGGTGCAATCAGGCCTAAGGGATCATAAATATTAGCCATCTTTCCCAGGATTCCTCGCTTCGTTGGCTGGGTTTCTTCTTCGGGTATCACTACCGCTAAGGTGTCTTGCTCTTTGTCCCACTTGAGTCCCAACATTTTCGATTCAGTTGGTTTAACATTTAGTTGTTGTTTGGCAAATGATTGCTCTTCAGAGGCGACGATTAGGTTTGTATCTTCCTCTAGCTGTTTGACGTTGGAATGCCACTTGTGGAGTTGGATTGTTGCGTCGCTGAATATCTGAACGGCTTTCTCTTTTCGCTGCTGGGCGTGGCTTGTAGTTTGTCCACCCGTTAGTAGATCATCGACATACAAGCTGCGTCGAAGCTCTGCCACTATCTCTGGTTCTCGTTCTTCCCATGCATCTAAATGGGCCTCGATTACGCCACCGAGCAGGAAGGGCGATGGGGCTAGACCAAACAGTACACGAGTGAAACAGAGTATTTCTAACTTCCCGCGCTCACTTTTCCTCCAATGGAATCTTAGTGCATCACATTCACACTCCTGGATACGTATTTGTAAGAAGGCCTTCTGGATGTCTGCGGTCACAGCTATAGGATATGCTCTCTGTCTCACTAGTATGTCCCAAAGCTTGTTTTGCAATGGAGGACCAGGATAAAGACACTCGTTCAGCGATGGTGACTCTGGCGTTGCTCTTGCAGAAGCGTCATAGACTATGCGCATCTTGGTTGTTTCAGCCGTTTCTCTAATTACTGCTTTGTGTGGAATGTAGAATTCTTTCCCCACGATTTCTTCCGGTGCGACTTCAACAACGTTGTTGTGGAGTTGCTCGCGTATAATGGCATCGTACTCATCGGTGAGGTTGATGCACTGCAGTTTTCTGGTCAGACTTGACAGGCGCCGTATACTTCCTTGTTTGTTTGTTGGCAGTTCTGGATGATTGCCTCGCCATGGTAGTCCGGTTTCATACCATCCTTCTGGTGAGCACTGCAGTTGTTCCTTAAATTCTGCGTGCACCATGCTTTGATCATGTTCTGGTGTGTCTGCAAGCCCTAGTACGTCAAGCCTGCAGAACTCTTCGTAGTCACTCTGTGATGTTTGCGTGAGCAGCATCGTGTTGTGGTCAAATTCTGATCCCGGACTCATAATAAACCATCCAAGTTTAGTTTTCTCCGCCACCGGTTCTCCATCCTGTCCAATTTGAGGCTTTGTCTCAGTTTTTACGCGCACATTTTCCCCGCTTCCTAGTACGACGTGTATGGAAAGTTGTTCCTTTGTGTCACGGTCTGTGATTTTGACTCCTTGCAGATGTGGGTACTCATTTATCAATTGTCCATAATTTGGGTTGTCAATTGATAACAGCTCAGCTAGGTTCACCTTGGTCATTTTTACAGACATCTGGTAATTTCCGTCTAAAGATTCCACGACGGTGTCATACACTTCTAATTTGGTTACTTTGGAGCTCATTAGCATTTCTACACGTTTTGTTTTCGTTTCACTTGGCTTTTTCTTTAGAAGATCAAATAGCTTCGCAGATGCATATGAGCTTCCCGCGCCGGTATCTATCAACGCGCGACACATAATACCATCAACCTTCACTGTCAAAACTGGCATGATGCCTTCATTGTTTCCACTGGCTGTCATCAACGTCTGGTTCCCGCTGTTCGTTTGTTCACGATCACATATCGAAGAGTGATGACATTTGTGACAATGTAAGCATGTCTTCTTGCTGAAACACTCCGCGGCGCGGTGATTCGGTGTTGCACAATTGAAACAGCTGCTTTCTTGCCAAAAACTGCTTTTGTTCGTTCACGGTTGAGATCTTCCGGCATTCAGATGATCTGTGCGTCACATCACCACAATAAACGCATTTGTTTGGCTTACCATCCCCACCACGTGCTTGGAAGAGCTTCCTTGAGCGGTCACGTTTCGAATTAGGCTGCTCTGGTGTTTCCCGTTCTTCAATCGCGTTTCGTTTTGTCCAAAGTCTTACTGCCTCTGACAACTGGGCGAAATTCCACTTCTCCCAATCCGGATCTGTTCGTACCAGGTCTCCACGAATAGCTGGCAGTTTATCCAGTGTCATTGGTACGTTTCCATTAACTTCACTGAGTTTATTCATAGTTTCCAACGCTTGGACACAATAAGTCAATTTCTTGCTAAACTTGCTTATCCTCCTAGGGTTGGCTCTTGTGATGACAGGGAGAGCCATTACTTCTTTGACGAACGCCTTGGTTATTTCGGATTCCTTCCCATAGTTGCTAAGTAAAATCGACTTGGCTCTATTGTAGCCCTCAGCTGTAAACGGCAAGGCTTCCACAGCTTTCATTAACTGAAGGTCAATCGCAGTATTCCACATACCTATATCACCAAGATCTTCCTCTGCTTCTATCTTTAAGGCTTCCAACGCACGCTTTAACTCGTCCGCTTGAGATATTGTAGATCTTAATGCTTCCGTATGTCTTTCAATAGCTTCTACAGATCCTGAATGTAGCACTTGTTCCGTTCTCTTGGCATGGATTTCTAGTTAGGTAAGTTTTGTTTGCAGTTTTCTCTTTGCATTCTCCATCTCCGTCGACAGCGTAGGTTTAAAATATAGGATTCAGGACTTAATTATGCTCACAACCATGTAGATAGCGGTCCTGTCGGAGGTGCCACGTTTGGAGAATGTCCGCTCTACTTCAGTGCTCTCCAAAATTCACAAAATGTTTTTAAGGTTTTTATTCTCACAGTCACAATTCGATCACCTCAGGTACAACTCTCTGACACTTGCACTGTCACAAAAACTGCTCGTAAATCTACTCGATCCTATTCCTTTATCGCTCATAGTTTGGCCACACAGGAATTTCCGGTGATTGTTGATTTTATCTATTGGTTCAGCTTACATTCATGTCAAAATGGCCACGTCCTATTTGTCACGCAATATGATAACAACACATTTCCGACACTTGCAGAATCTTGTTAAATTCCTCTTGATTTTCTTCTTGCAACAGCTGCATTGGGAAGTGCACAGGAGTAAAATAATCAGGATTATCTAACCATAATTAGATGTGCATTTTATGAAACATGTTAGTCCTCCATTTAAAAAGGAGGCCACATAAAAAATCACTAAACCATAAAAATATTAATTCCTAAATTATGACTGTAGATTCCCAAATTGTTATAAAACAATTACTTTGCACTGGCAACAAATAGTGCATCACTAATTTTAAGACTAAACTGGAGTCAACTAATAACACTGTATTTCACGTTATCATACTTGTCCAAATAACAACAATACTATGATGACACAATAATACCTTTAATAGAGACGTTCTGACAAGTGCATTAGGAATTTCTTCAATGGTTGGAGCGTACTTTTCCAAGCCCAATGTAATGTACTGACAAATTGAAGGGCTGAATATGTTCGGCGGTTCACCCCCTCGTAAGATAATAGTTGCCAGCATCAACCCAACAATGTAGTAATCATTCTCTCTCAATGCCTTTACATTGAAACGAATGACATGGCCTTTGGGAGTTGCTACAAAAAAAATTGTTGTTATGTTACATTTTATCACTAACATTGTCTCACATTGGTAATGCAAATTGCCTATTGTTAAAGCTCTTATTAATTTCCTCTCCCCCCACCTCCCCCCGCCCCGACCCCAAAAAAGCTACCGGTAATGCCTATCACTCTTATTAAGGTATAAAGACCTTTAACCTTTAAATTATAAAATTACTTTCATGGCACTATTTAGAAGATGGAATCAATCAAACATAAACATCATTTCATGAATTGGATGAAAAAGATGGAAAACAAAAGTTGACATCAAAGATACGGTACCTGTGACAGTTTTGCTATCTTTACAGATAGCACCCAGCAGTAGGTGTAGAAACTCACGCCTTGGGCCACCCAAGTCAATCGCATCCTCCTCTTCCTCAAAATTTGCAAATGTGACGTGTATCAAGCCTTTGCCTCCAGCAAATTTTTTCCTTTTGAAGTATGGCAAAGCTGTTGTCCATATGGAGGCCCTGCTCACTACTATGTTTCGGTGTTCACCAGATATTTGGCTACTGGCGTGTGACTTCATTACCTCCGTAAACTGGTCACTGGAAATTTCTACTTCTTCTGGTTGGGCAACAATTAGTGGTTCCTTGTCCTCTCCATGTTGCTGCAGGCTAAGTTGTATAGCCTGTTCAATGGCTGTTTCTTCGGTGAATCCAAAAGGCCTAAAGATTTAAGTCATTGAAATTAGATAAAAAAATAATTAGCATGTAGTATAAAAGGAGAAATTTTACATCTGTTGTTCAGGGTTTTCCTTTATGGCAGGTGACTGCCAATTTTTGCCGCCTATGAACAATTCAGACACAGGCAATGGCGTGATGAAGAATCCTTGCTCTCAATAACTTTCAGTCTTAAAACAAATTAGATGGCCTGGATCGTTTCACCTTTGGCACCCCATTGGCAATTAACATATCAACTAATCTCCGCCTGCTTTGCTCAAGTCGACTGCGGCTTCATTTGAAAAGGAAAACCCTGGTTGTTGCCATAGTAGCATGACCTGCTTGTTAAGAAGCTCACTACCAGTACCAAAAAAGGGGGAAAAATGTAAAATGGAAAAGATTTAAAATCCTGAGTTTAAAACTTGACATAAGAGATGACATGATATACTGTTTACAAAAATCAGCATTGGAACAAAGAGCTTATCCCAGTTCCCCAGGTCACGCTTTGCCTGTGGAGTGCTACTCAATGACCGAGTTACATGTACATGCACTGCCCCTCCCCAGTCAAGCATTAATCTGATAGTATCTATCGGTGTTACTTGAATTCCAATTGTCTGCCTGCTGTAGGCCAGGACATTTGTCCATTTCATTTCATTTCATTTCAAAGTTCTATATATGTTTAGTGACTTCTTGACTTCTGCCTGCACTACTCCTACAATGTAAGCCCCCCCCCCCACCCACCACCCTTGTGACTTGACAATTTGCCAAGTACATTAAAAGTGAAAGTGGTGCCTTGCCTGAGAACAAAACGTAGTGCCCCTGCCCAGGGCTTAAACTCATACAATCTTGAGTTCAGTTTGTTACAGAGAAGAGTTCTGTATATGTTATTTGAAAATATTTATATTTATTCTATTTTCTCTGACACCTCTGTACAATTAATGTTTGTGAGAGTTTGAACTAAAATTGATTTGAATTGAGTTTGCTATCCATTAGGCCACTGTGGCTCTCATTGACTTAGTGAGTCTCATACATACAGATACACATACATACATAACTTTATTAATTTTGGTAAAGCAGGTCAAAAGACAAAAAGCAACTTTACAGCTGACGTGGACCTACTATAATAATATTTACAATAAAGTAAACATTTAAAAATAAAGTAACTTTGTTACGAAATGCACTATACCTATTAAATAATCATAGACAATCTAATCATAGACAATCTAAACAAAAAATAGCGCAACACTCTCAGTTTTTAAGCGCGCAGTAAAGCGCGAAATATATAATAATTCGTAGTAAATTTTTTAGGTTTAGCATTTTTAGAATAGGTTAATTTATTTATTTGAATTAGTTTTTTTTTTTATCATGATATTATTGTAATTTTTATAAGTCGTTTTTATTCGATTTCCAATTATTGTAAATTAAATCGGAAGAGCCACTGGCTGGAGATTTAATAAATTTACTACTACTACTAAATAGATTTTAATATTCTAGTCGTCTACAAATAATAAGTTTAGAGTTACTGGTAATATGCATTAAGAGTTACACTCCACATGCACGTTACTGATTTTAAACTTTCTTGAACATGTACACTATTAAACAGGTGCATGCAAAAGCATTCAAAAGCAACAACTTTCAAAAAGTCTGTGGCCACGAACAATAGGTCTGCGGTGGAAATTATGTCTTCATTCTGTTGTGGAATCAAAGGCATTAATTCCGGGACTGCTGAATTATCCATTTCAGGTAAGCTTAAACTTATGTTATCAAAGTTAATATCATGTTCAAGCTCTGACCAATCGATAATTTCCACTTCTGATGCAGTGCCATCACTTTCCCCGATGTCTTTCCTCTCAATTGGGCTCAGGTACAAGTTAATCCTGGAGTACGGTCTCCCCAGCCAATCTTTGTAATTGCTAAGAACGAACTCGTCCGAAGTTCTCGGCATCTTCTTCGCTATTCGCTATTCACTGAGAAATAGATTCGTGCACTGAGAAATACATTTGTGCACTGAGAAATAGATTTGTGCACTGAAAAATTAATTTGTGCACTGAGAAATAGATTTGTGCACTCAGAAATACATTTGTGCACTGGAAAAAAATATTTGTGCATTGCATATATGGGCTACCGTACTGGAGTATATCTGTGAAAAAATTTTTGGATTTGGTTAAATCCTCGATTTTCTGTGACCTGTTGAATTGGCGGATAATTTGGTCCAGTACCGAGCAACATGGGATCTGGAACGAGTGCCAGGGCTGTCATGTGATATGACGTAGATTCGGAAACCGAAATTCTTGCAAGCAAAGGATCGCCAAGCAATTTTTCTCACCTTTGCATGGTGTGGAAGACGTAGAAGCAACTTTCGAGCCAAATTTCGGTCACCAGAAGCTATAATTTAACCATATTTTGCAATGTCTTCCCCTGAAGATTGAGCGGTAAGCTGCACCGATTCAGAGTATGAGATGGAAGCAGAAAGTGATCTCGATCGCAAAGCATCGCCACCGACAAGCAATGACGAAGCGACTGCATTTGCAGATGACCCACTAGCGGATGCAGAGTGGACAGCTCAATAAGAACAGCAAATAGAGAAGGAAAAGGAGCTGGAGCAAGAGTTAACTAAGAGATTACAGGGTGCTACACAAGTCAGTCAATGGTGAGCATTGGTTTCTATGAATGTTATTTTTGTAAGCTTACATGTTGGTGCGGTTTCAAACGCAGCCTTGACTCATCAATTTGCTCTGTTTATGTTCTGTAGGTGCAAGCAGGGCTCGAAATTAAAAGAAATGTCTCGTCGCAAATTTGCGACTAGTTACGAAAATTTGGTCGCAACTTTGAAAATGTTAGTCGCGAAATTAATTGAGGCCATTTAATCAAGAAATAAGTAGGCTTTTAAACGATTAACCCTTTAATTTTCATTCTTTCAACAGCTTTCATGTCATTTCGAGACTTAATAATAGTACAGAACGTTTAGCATCTCGGACAACACCAGTTTATCTAAACGATCAAGTTGAACCTGCGTTAAGGCACATAAATTAGTGTCTGTTATTTTAGTCAAAGCGATAGATTTCCAAATCATGAACAGATATTACAGCAGGAAACTGCAGTTCTTAAATGCCTCCAATCTCTGCAAAATAGCAATAACATTTGTACTGGGCGGACATCCGACATGGTTATAGGTTACGTTACGTAACTAAATTCCTTTAGTTTTACCTTTTGCAGGTTTTCCACTGATGACAAAACAAGTAACGAATTCTTTTATATATTAAGCTTTACATCTGAAGTATCAGGGGTGTTACTACAGTGATTATTCAAAGAACCCTGAAGGACTGAATCATTCAATACGACGATACGTGCCATGCGGACATTCCGCCATCTTTGTTTGCTAAACCTCGTTTTCATGTAGTATACGTAGATTCGCAACCCACTTGAAACCGATTTATTTTACATGTAAATCTTTTTTTTTTAACTAACCGTTACTGTCAAACGAAGAAACAATGAAGCCTTAAGTACTCATTTTTTACCAATGAAAGTTATTGACTCCAGTTTTTCTGCTTATTTCTGTTCCTTCGATCTTGCTCAGTGACTAACGACTGTCAGCGGCAAATCAAAACGAAATATGAGCCTGCAATGTACATGTTTACAGAACCCGCTGAAAATGGCGTGCTGTTGAAGGAATATCGTTGCGTGTATGCATTCCAGGTAAATTACGGTAAACCTTCAGATTGTAACAAAATTATAAGACACTACTTCAATGAATCTTTTTATTTCTGAATTTATTTAAGCAAAAATTCAAGTGCTAGTCCTTTTATTTCGTATCAGTTAAGGCAAAACCTAGTCACAAATAAGAAAAATTAAGTCGCAAATGCGACCGTATCGGTCGCAATTTCAAGCCCTGGCAAGTGTGGAAACTGCTGTGTCCTTTTGTTACAAAACATCAGCGAATGTTATTGCTGTAGCGAACTCGAGGGCTGCCTGGAATAGACGAAGACTGACCTCGTCCTTCTAGATATCGGGACCGACGTTACCCTAAAGTGCGTTACGCAGCACCCAGGGTTCAGTCCCGTTTGTCTCCAGAAATGGAGTCTGAGGTTGGCCGCAGGGGAATTCAAGACGACAGGCAAACAACAGTACAGACAGAAAGGAAGTGAGGAAAGGTTAGTTAATGATAGAATTTAAGGCTAAATCATTATGGAAGCTTCAGCGTAGGTTCACCAAAAACTTTTCGACTTGTGATCAGTGAAACAAAAATCATAGTAATTATAATAACCTTGAGTTTCGGTGATTGGTCAGGGAAGTTAGCATTAATTGCATTTTCGGTTGTCTAAACAGGGTTGTCACTAAGGGCCGGGGACGGGGATTTCCCCCAGCTACTCAGAGCATGGCCCCCGGCTACTTTCGTCGTTAAATTAAACCAAAAGAGCGCACCTTTCAAACACACAAAGACTACCCTTCAAAACTAAATGCAAGTGTCATCTGCAGCAGGTTTAAGTAATTTCGAAATACTCGCGTGCAAAAACTAAGAAATGTCGGAAAAAAAAAGACATCTGACTTATGAGTAGTGTATTCTTGCTGCAGTAGTTGTGGTTTTCTGCCAGGTCAGTTTTCCTAAAACATTAGATATGCAGTGTCTTAGTGCAATAATAGGAATCTGATCTATTGACAAGACTGAATTTTTGATCTGACTAATTAGTGACATGTTGTAGGCTAAACGTTATTGCTCCTGGATGCATCATATACAAAAGATTCCATTTTCAAATAAGCAGTTCATAATATAATCTGCAGGGGTACCCTTAAATCTCTTATAGCACTCGCAATCAAACTTCAGTTGTTCCAATAGCAAGACCATTATATATATATATATATTTTCATTTTCATTTCTTTCGCTTATGTTTCACACGTGAAATTTCACTTATCTCAAACAGAAAGATATTTCATCTTTGTCTAATTGCATGCCTCTTCTGACAATGACATTCTGTATGTATCAAAACACACCAAAAAAATTATAGCACTAAGCTTTCTGCTCCAAAAAAGGACCAGAGATAATAAGAAGAAGGCCACAGAGGCCACACTGACCCAAACAGATGTGCCCCTGCTCTTTCTGGCAAACCTAGAAAACCTTGGCCAGTACACAATACAGTCTACACAATCACATTCAAAGGGACAATGTCAGCTTTGTGACCATGCTGACCTGGACACTGGCTTTTTAATGTGAAAAGTGTCTTCCTCAATCCAAAATCAAAGAATACTACATACAGAAATCCACTTCAATCTTCTCTATAATTTTTTCTATTGTGAATCTTGTAATGAAAATCTGTTTCTGAGTATCCTTTCCTCATCCTATAGCATTACAGTATATTACCATACTTGCTAAAAGCAGCATCTTATGACAAGGTGTATTTAGATCAGCTAAGAATAGGTATGTAATGAGCATGCACACCAGCTGACAATGTCCCTTTTAGTAAACTATCAATCATTACTGATCCAATGCCATATTCTCTACTGTTGCCAATACTGCTGGTGGCATAACATCATCGTTGTCTGAATCACTGGCATTTTCTTCCAGTACTGAACTTTCTAGTTGTGACAATGACAAGTTGTCCAAGATCATATCATAAAGTTCATCGTCTTGCAAAAGTTCATGCCATTCATCAAGTAAATCATCGTCAAATTCAAAGTTATCAGCATTATTTACAGCAATTTCTGAATCACAGTGATCATTGATGTCTACAAATACATTGTTAAGAATTAAAAGCATTTTCTGTGCATGCCTTTTGTCCCATTTTATTTCTACAAACTTATAAACATCAGCTATTGAGAAAATTCGATGTACATTATCCAGAACCTGTGTTATTTGGTGCTGTGAAAATCCTAACATAAATTGAAAATTAGTTAAGGTCTTCACATTTCCATTTGCAGTAGAACCAACAAGTTGCATGACAATGGACTGGTGATATTTTATCAAGTTTTCTCTGACAACTTTCATTTGCTGTTGCGACACTTCTCTTTCCTTCAATGTAGGCTGAATGTCCTTGTATGTGGCAACAGGGTATTTGGTAAGGTTATCAGGGTGTGGCATACCACATTCGCATTGAGAAGCACAATTATCACAGCAAAGATATGGTTGTTCTGGATACGTGGACACACACTCAAAGTGATTTAGAATGTTTTTCCTCCTGCACTCTTTAGTCTTAACAAAAGACTTCATATGGGCTTCAATATGGTTCATCATAACTCCATGATATAAAACATAAGCAATGCTTTGGTGGCCGTCCCTTCCTGCCCTACCAGTTTCTTGAACATAGGACTCTACATTTTTGGAGGGTCCAAAATGTATGACTCTATGAACACCTCGGCAGTCAACGCCCATTCTGAAGGCTATTGTTGCTATTAGCAGACGGATAATACCATTTTCAGATTGAAAAGACTCCAAAATGGTCTTCTTATTTTCTTCAGGAGTGCACGAATGCAACATTTCAACAAGCACATTTTTTGAGTCATCTCCAATAAACATGTTCGTTCCTAGCAAACCCTTGATTGTAGCGTAAACTAAACCACATTGCCTTATAGTCTGGCAGTAAATGATTGTTCTGTCTGTTTTCTCCTGACTGTGTTTCAGTTCATCAGTGAGCCAGCTGAAATAAAATTCAAGTTCCGTGTCCTTATCCATATATTGTACAACATAGGCAACATTTAATTTATTGGGACTTTCTTTAATTTCCACTACATTTGCCATGTTCAGAAGACTTAAAATTGTGTCTCTAGTCAGTTTGGTTGCAGTTGCAGTCAAGGCTACCATAGGCACATTAGGTGCGAGAGACCTCAGTTCGTATAGCTTTGAGTAACACTCGCGGAATGCAGCCATTTTATTATCTTGAGATGTTCCCCTACACATTAAAAAGAAAATAGACAGCATAAATCTATTGCATAGGATAACTTGTTGCACAGATATAGACGCTTATTTATATAAAGACTTACCACTGCCTTACAACATGTGCCTCATCGACTGCTATCGCACATAGTTTTTTGGAATAAACAGAGTTCGTCAGCATTAATCTCCAGTGTTCGTTTTTCAGCCATGCTTCGGGTGATCCGTAAACTAAGGAATATTCACCATTTACAACACGAGTGCGTTCACCGTCCTCAAGTGAAGTGATGTTGCATGCTTTAAGCCCTAGTTCCCTCAATAAGACACTTGGTCGTCCATAAGGCTTATTAATAGTGAAACAACTACCACAATTTAACCAGGCTGTTTTGAAGTGAGATCAAACACGAGTGGTAATGCTTGATAGATAAGAGATTTCCCAAAACCAGTAGGAAGATTAATAAAAACATCCCTTCCTTCTTCCACTATTTTCGTAATTCCGTTTTTTTGCAGCGCATTTAAGGCAGAAATTCGAAATGTCTTGCTAACAACATCAAAAGCTTCTTCAATGGTCGCCGTTTTGGAAGCAGTGGACTCCAAGATAAAAGAAACAATATGATTGGTTAGATTACGTTGGCGCGCCTAGTTCCCGAAATATGTAAACTACATGGTGATTGGTTTAAGTGGTGGAAAGGACTGTTGTTTGAATGTGAGCAGCCGTTTGTGGGGAGGAACGTTGCGTGACGATACCAAAAACGGCTGCGAGGGAGACTAGTAATGCATCAGTCAATGTCCAGGCCTCTCGCATTGGTTTAGGCTAATGCCCGACCCCCAGGATTGACAGTGTGTGCAAATGCCCTGCAGTTGCCCCATGCGGGAGGCGGGGCGATGGTTGCAGCCGGAATTGATTGATGCATAATGTAATATAATACAATCTACAGTTATAGTGAAGACTGGTATATCCTTACTCTTCTTTAGATGCCAGATGTCGAAGTAGTGAACAATATTCGTAAGGACATTTTTCATGTGACTGGCTATAGTGGAATGTCTCTCTGAAATGAATGTGTTGATCAGAAGGCCATAAGCCAGCGAGAAGTCCATGTCATGTTGAAATGCCATAAATTCCATCAGTGTACTATTTCCAGCTTCATTCCTCTATAAAAAAAAATGATGGATATAAATAAAATGGAAAGACCAGTTTGATGTCTCCAATGAAAATGAAATTATTTGATATTGAAGCTTTTACTAGATAATTTCCATTTTCCAAGTGGAATATACATTATGGTTAAATTTTGTAAAACCTAGTCCTTGCCTAAAATTTAGGAATATATAAGATTACCAAGCATATGCATTGTATTCATCGAGTATTTTGCTAAATAATGAAATGTCAACGAACAGGAACTTTGCCTTCTCAAAATTTACACCTACACAGGTGCGTAGCGTGGTCATTTTTTCAAGTACGCACAAGTACATGATCTAGAAACCTGAGTAAACTGAGCGAAAAAACTGCGTTCTCCATTTCTTGTTCGAAATAGTAGTGTGAATACAGGCAAAGAACAAAGCGTCGTACCCTTATTTTGAGCAAACTTGGCGTAAACAAAACATTGTTTTTTGTTGTGGATCCCATCATCCTCGAGCATGCGCTCAGCAGCGTTTTTCATTTTATAGTACAGTTGTCATTTATAAGCAAAGAGCGAGGCGTCTTTCTTTGTGCTGTGCAAACTGGTCGAGCACACTCTCAACATTGATTTCTTTTTCCTTGTGGATGTGCAATATTGCTAACGATGAAAGGTGATCGTCAGTCATCGTGTTTCGTAGTAGCGTCTTTAGCCTTTTCATCAAACTAAAGCTGCGCTCAGCAGCGCATGCCAACACAGGATACGTCAAGAGCGTTTTTACTGCTACATAGATTGCTGGGTAGAATGCATCTAGAGTTTCTACCAGCGTCTGCGGGAGAGGATCGGTTGGCTCAATGATAGACCAGCGGTGCCTCCATCTGTCCACTTCAAGTTTGAACTCTTCCAAATCGATGGCCATGTCACCACCGTAGTGCTCATAGATCGACTTCAATTTTTCCTCCGTCAACTGGCCAAGCTTTCCTATAAGCAAGAACAGTAATTTGAGATCTATGTGCTAAACCACTGAGTGGTCAAATGAACATGATCCACAAAGTTCTTGTACCCAATGCAATATCATTTACCTGGAATAAGGAGCTGAGCCTGGAAGCCTGGTAGTGGCACCACAAGCTTTTCATTGATCTCTGTGACGAGGTGATCTAGAAATGGCAAATACATTGCCCTCTTCCAATATGCTGATGGGGTATTTGCTGGAACGTTGTTGCGATGTTGTTGCCTTCCTGCCGTCCTTGGCGATGATGGATCAATGCCGTAATCCGAGGCGATTTCAATAGACTTTTCCATCAAGGCCTCCCAAACAGCATCGTCATTTCGCTTGGCATTCAGAACAGAGGAGCAGGTTTTTGCTTCTTCAGAGGCTTGAATCAAGTTGAGATCAGGGCTCTGGGTCCCCAAAAATGGTTTTGATTCTTAGTAATGTGGTAAATGTAAAAATCAAGGATATACTATGATATCATTTGATTACTCAGTTGAAGGTATACCGACAGCTTGTTAGTATATTCAAAAATGTGCTGGAGCACAACAAGAGTAATAATGAAGTCCCATTTCAGAATAGACGCGTGGAGCGCTCTGGCCTTGCAATGACCTTCCTCGCTTAGCTGGTCTAATGTGTCGATTATAACCTAAAAATGAACATTGATGGATAAGAAAAATGTTCCATTGTATTTAGCTCATAGAAGATGGGCTATGATTCAGATTATGAATATCAAGTAATACCTTGAAAGCGTCAACGAAAACTGACAGGCAATCTGCTCTGGGGGCCCAGCACGTTTCACAAAGCAGCTTCAGCTTTGAGCGTCTTCCCATTTCTTCTCTAGCAACAGGATTGTCTCCAAGTTGATCCTTAAATACCAACAAACGTTTTGCAGAGAACTTAAAGGCCATTTAACTTCTTGCATGGTATCCATGATGTTTCTTACAAGTGGAAGCTTTGATGCATGGACAATACAGAGGTTTAAGACGTGAGGTCGACAATGGTCATAAACAGCATTTGGATTTACTTGACGAATCCGTGTTTGCACACCACTCACATGCCCACTCATCACACTGGAACCATCATATCCTTGGGCTCTTATATCATTCACTGAAAGACCGACACTCTGGATGGTCTCTAGAAATTTTGTTGTGAGTTCCTCAGCATTGGTTCCTTTGTCTGCATGTACAAAAGTAAGGAATTCTTCACGTATGAAATGTTTCCCGTCCTCTTTCGTGCTACCAAAACGTATACAAACAGAAATTTGCTCTTTATTTGTGACATCAGTCGACTCATCAGCAATTAACGCATAAATGACAGATCTCTTGCAGTTGTCAATTATGCCATCGAGAATCTGCTTTGCTGAAAAAAAGATGATCTCGTTCTGGATATCTGGACTTGTATACTTGGAAATCCGAGGTGCGTTTTCTAGGTGGTCACGCAGAACTGAGTTTTCTTTCGCCAATACAGACAGCATTGCCATAAAATTGCTGTCTTCCTCTTGGTGACCTCTGATAGCTATGTTGTGCTTCTCCATCGTAACTAGCACCTCTATTGTACATTTGAGAATCATTCTATTCCTTCTAACTTGTTCTGCTCTTTGAGAGTGAAGCTGTTGACGCACCACCTTGCTGTGTGTGCAGAAACGCTTCCCCGTGAGCTACTGCAGTGTGATGGGCACTTTTTTCGCACACATGCTTCTTCACTAGTCTAGAAATATTGGACCAATCACGAGTACAGAAAGAATGATCATGGGTGATGAATAATAAAAAGTAACAACAGTAGAGGGTGTCTAGCTGTCGAAGGGCTGTATCTCAACCAGGGTGTTCTTGTAATGATGTCGGGGTTTATCTTTCTGGAAATGTTTCTAAAAATATGCAAGTAAGGCCAATTACTAAATTTTTCTAAATTGACTTGTACTAGATTATTCTGGGAAAATATCTTGTGTGGGTGCCGCCACTGCTTGAGAATTTTCTGTAAAATCATCATAGACAATATTTCTGAGTAGAGGTTTGACGGCACGGCCAGGCAATACGGTCGAGCAGCTTACCTTCTTCATCGTTAAATCCACTATTTTCGTCTTGGATAACACTGAAAAAATCTTTGATGGATCTTTTTGACATATTATGTATCACATAAAAGCAAACGGGAAATATAGATGTGTTCTAATCTGTTTTATAGTCAGAGCTAGCGTAACTGAAGTTGTCAACAACGTTCTCAGAACGTCGCTCCTTTGTCAAGAACGTTCTTGGAACGTCGCTCCTTTGCAACCTCGCCTTTTTGAATTGTTGCATGCTGTCCAAACAACACTGCATTGTTTAGTGTAAAAAAAGTGCAGTGCAAAGTTAGAACATGGGATAGCTTTTGTTTTAGTTTTTAGAATTTAATCAAAGTGGTGTTTTCATCACGAAATCTTGGTTGCGTGCAAGTAAAATGTTAAAAATATAAACAATTGCAAAAAATTTCAAAATTTTCTGTTCACTTCAAGTACGCACGTGCGTATATGCGTATAGGATGCTACACACCTGCTACAGGGTGTAACTGATATGAAGCTTTTTAGTCTAATGATGATTATATATAGTCACACCAAAATAATTATAACTCACTTCTATTGATCATTTATTTTGTTTTGGAAATACAAAATGTACTTGATTAACACACTTGGTTAGTCTTTCTTCCAGTCAAAACAAAATAACATACACTGAGAAAATTGAACCAAAAATAAAATCAGACCACAACAATCACAGCAAGAATACAGTCATATACTGATGCCCCTTGGTGAGGTCAATTAGCAAGTTAAAAAAGTGCATCTGAGAATAAAAGAGTAGGGTACATAAATTATGAACTCTCTATAAAGTATATGTATTTCAAAGTGACATAGCAGGGAGCTACACTGTAGGTGCATCACCCAGAAGTAATAGTGATAAAAAATATATCTAACCTGAACCAGAGAAAAATAAATAATCATGGGAACAGTGCAGCAGAAGATTGTGTAGGCACCAAATTTTGCACTGTGTCCCGTGCTATCATGGCAACCATCTCCTGCAATAATAATGCCATCTTGAATAGCCTTTAGCTTTGCAAGCATCTGAGCTTGGTATCTTTGCCAGTACAGGTAGATTGAAGGGAAGAGTTCGGTCTAAAATGATAAAAAAGTAAACATCATTATTAATTTTATACTGTAATAGCATAAAATCCCAATAATAAGCCCCCTCAAACTCTCAAATATAAATATCCTTGTACTAGTAGGAGTCCACGGATTGTTAATTGTAAGCTGTTTTAGCAGTGTTCCAGCCAGAAATTTCTGCTTTAGGGCCAAAGTGGCCCCTACAACCCATTTTTGGGGGCCAGGTATTTCAAGAAAGGGCCAATCTACCAGCATCTTTCTAATATGGAAAAGAGAAGAAGCAGTTGGAAAGTTAAGGAAATGAAAATGACAGTTTATTTGAAGCTGACAGGGAGCATCCCTCTTTATACACAATAGAGGAAATCTTCGGTAATAAAGCAAACAGTACAATCAGAATGTATGCAATAAAAATAGTAAGTAATTTTTTTCAATCAATGAAATCTTGTCACGAGGAGACAGATAGCTTTAAAGCGCCCTAGACATTTAACTCAACAGAATCGTTTTTAGCAGATAACCTTCCCGTTGTAGTTCACTACTTTTTCTAAGGAGGTGAACGAAGCATCAAGGCGAACAAACTGAATTACAATTGAGGTCATAATTTGCCCCAGCAGTCAATCAAACTGATTTTTGAGTATGCATTTTATAGACAACCTTTCATTATACAATGTTTATTTTAAAAACATACAGGTAATATATTAGTGAGATATATTAAGGCTTATTGTTATTGATTGAAATCTTGGGGAATTCATTGCTTGCATTATGCTCTGTGTTTGTTTTTATTTTAAACAAATATTCTAAGATTAAGCAGGTTTTGAATTATAGTCACACATACAAAGTGTAAGAAAAAACAACATGACTCAACTATGTATTTTATACATCATAGTCTCCCTTTTGTCTCATCACACAGCGCTACAGACAAAAAACAGCTGGGAGGGAGACAACAATTTACTCTCTCCTTTTTTAATCTTACAACCTTGAAGACCATGTGATAACCTAAACTGAGATACAATATATTATTTACTACTGTTCCAACCCCTTGATCTTTCTACATGGGGCCGCACTTCACTTTGAATATGGAACCTCTAGTAATATAAGAAGAGGTATGGATTATGTGAATATTGAGTAGCACTAGAAATGACTTTTCCAGTTACATTTTCAGCCAGAATTTCATAAGTAAGCAAGGTATCAACTTAAAACTTGGCCATGATATAGAACTTTGACAGGCCTATCATTATTTTGAAGTGTCAATCAATTTGCCATGGCTACCCTGCTAATGTCATAAATAACTGACAATAATTAGCAAAACTTTGATCAAAATTAAAAAAATTTCGCCTGTAAACAAAGAAATTAGGGTTTTTGAGTCTTTCTTGGGTTTACAAAAAATCATATAAGTTGAGGGGTCTCTTTTCCATGGAAACCACTTAAATTACTTGAAATGTTATGTAACACACTGTATACATTAGTTATGCCAGCTCATTTGGATAAATAAGCAGATTTATCATAATTAGTGTTAATTTAGCAATGGTGTTTACTTCCACAGCAGTAGTTTCCTCCTCCCACTTGACACAATTATCATTTGCTATAAAATTTTTAAGTTCATGCTTCACAACTGCAGATGGCACATGTTCCTCTAACCCAGCTCTTAGTGAATCCATAAATCACTCATTATCAAGTTCAAGTGATGTTGGATCAAAGGTTGTTGGTTTGATAGGCTGTTTAGTATTTTTTCTATAACCAGCCTTGGCAATTCGTAGCTCCTCAAGGGGGCAAGACTTTTCATTTGGCTTGGCTTTTCTTTTCCAAATACACTCTTGATGTCGAGGAGTGTTGGCTATTTCTGTGTACAGTACATTCAACATCAAACAGTGCTGCAGTTACATGCCTGCATGTTCCATCAGCTCTACAAATAAAAAACAGCAAGACCGTTACTTCAACTGTCAGCATTTAGTGATGAGGCAACTGCTGATGTCTATAATAATGTCTACATTTTCTGTTAAAACTGACCAAATTGAGGCTAGCAGCAATCTAAATGACAATCAATAATATGTTTTTATCTGCTGTATTCATGGTTAATAAATGGTTTGAACTCAGGAGTCATGTCAAAACTAGGTGACAAACAATAGACAAAAAAAGAGACACAAACATGGAGAGATTAACTATAATTAATATCTTACCGTCCTTGGCATGGACAGAATGCCCCATGGATCGCACCATCACTTTTCAATGTTGCGAAACCTTAATAAGTATCCTTTCCAGCTCCTGTTTTTTACCTTTCTGTAGGCTGCACCTGGTACTTTACAAAGGTAGCAGACATGTTGGGTAGCTTATGGACTGTTAAGTTGATAACATGTCCATCTTTGAATAGCCTACATGTATATCCCATCGGGCTTTTAAAAGAAATTAGGTTTTTTCCATAGAGTATTTGTTGGTCTTTTCAGCAAGGCAGTTACAGATATCAGGGAAAGTGACTTCTGGAAAGAGGGACAAGTTCCTACACCAGTTCAATATTGATGCCAGTTCTGGCAAAACGCCCTCGTCAGTGGTCAGTAAATTCCCCATGATTGACTTCTCATTCTCACTTTCACCACTGGAAACCTTTGACAGTTTCATAGCATTAAAAGCTAGATCAACCAATTCTGTCTTTTGTTTACCCTAGCCTTCCGAGGATGTTTTGATTCCTCTTTCTTGAAGGTACTCTTGTAGCCAAGGTAACTTTTGGTGCTGAAAATATTGGAGACTCCTCTACCCGCTACTACGGACGTGCCCATATAAACAATGATAAAATTCAAAATTATGGCTTTGATCACAGACCGAGAAAAGAGGAAGCATCCAAGGAAATAGTGTTAAATCCAAGTAGAGTTAGTTGATTGCGCTACGATTTTGTTCCTCTAGGCCTCATTTTGATGCTCGATTTTTGTCACCACTTGCTCACGTTGAACAATATCAAAATTGGGCTATTCAGCAAATTTATTTTCAACTGATGCCCTCTCATCACCACTAATTATTGCCTGTGCGATTTCTTCCACTCTTCTTGAAGGCATCCATGATTGCCTCTGTGTCTGACTTCCCCAACTCAAGAAGGCCCATTGAATATGAAAGAATGATGGTAAATTTTAGGCTTGGTGAAACAAATGTGAAAATGAATTAATGAGCATGTCACGAGCATGGGACAAAGAAAAAATTGAATATGTTTGACAATATGGAGTGGTAACTTCAAAATCTTGGAAATGTCGATGATATTTGGTTGTACCATCTCCATGAAGGGTATTTCCAATTACCCGAGATGGGTCAGCCTCTTCTAACATTGCTCTTCCTAGCTGGACATCTGCAGGGTGTTTAGCCTCAACAGGAAGATGCGAGTGGACTGCCTTGCTGGGAAGCCTTGATATGCTCTTTCTACCTAATTTCTGTAAAACTGTGCGAATCACTTCATTGACTTTGCTCAT